TCTGGAAGGCAAAATGAGCATCACTTCAGTTAAGATTGGAGCACCACCTCTGATGTCAGAGATAGCAGCAGACAAATAGCCTACAAGTGAAAACATTGTACTAATATCCAGGCGTTATTTCTGTTCTACTGAACAGTGGTAACCAACATTTATGGCTGGTCAACAAAATAACATTTTGATTGAATATGTCTTAATTTATGGCATAAATCAAGAAATATTCAATCAAGAAAAAAATGAAAACACACTGCTGATCAAATGTAGATCTACCTAGACTCGTGCAAATGTTCGGGCAGCTGCTTCTTGAAGGCTATCCAGGTCACTTTCAGCCTACGGGCCGCAGGTTGGCCACCTTGGGGGTCACACACCTGCCCAGATGGATCATTATTAAATGATTAAGTTTAAGAAAAACATTGAGGTCGTGCTCGCTAACAATAATTTGGTTGCTCGGCAGAATGCAGCTCACGTTATCCATTTTGTTATAACACTTATTTATACAACACAAATTCCACAATTAAGCTAAGGTCATATTTCACCAATTGATGCCCTGAGTCTCAAAATGTATTATGGCTCACCCACAAGAACCCTCTTTGTTAATAAAGAGCAAGGGAATTACATACAAGGTATGTACTGTACATCTCTTGCACAATGCTACTCTTCAGATCCTCTCCTGCCAATTGCATCGTCAGGAGATATAAGCAAAAAATCAACTTCTTTTGCACAGCCTTTCAGTTTGACATTCCCGAGGGAGAATTACGCTCAGCAGTGGCCCAGTAGCATTTATTCTTTTTTTGCAAAGTGATTTGCAGAAGTCTCACTCACAACCATTTCCCTCCTCCTCGCCTCTTTCATCCCATTTTAGCACTGGAGCTCTGGGGATTCCAGATCCGGTGCCAAAGTAAAGACGCAACCGCAATTCCAAGCCACCGCTGCCTTCCATTGTCTGCGGACTTCCGCACATGGGTCAACACCTCAGTGCCATTGGGCAAGTATTGCGACGAAAACATCCTTGCATACTTGAAACACCTTTTGAGTGTGTTATGATCTGTTACCCAAACAATATTAATAATAATCCTTGCATTTGATATAGCACCTTATAACATCTTCGAGACGTCTCAAATCGCTTCACAGAATATACTGTAAAGTGAACTGACTGTATATTTTGTGGGCGAAATGTGGCAGCCGATTGCGCACAGCAGTTTCTCCACAGACAGTCGTGGATTGAGTAACCAATTTATTAAACCTTTGGTGAAGAAATTATTATTGCAGCCCAAGCCATATAATAATATTTATATTAGGTATCACATTGACAGGCCATCCGTCTCAAGGCTTTACAGATATACTGTAACATGCAGTCAGTGACCGTGTATTTTGGAGTAAACACAGCAGCCAATGTGCGCACAGCAATGTCCAACAGCCATGAAGCGAATGATCAATTTTATTTGGTGCAATGTTGGTCAGAAGGCAGGGAGAAACTCCCTTCACTGATGTTCCAGAATACCAGGTCATTTTGCACCACCAGCCTTTGGGTAGCAGAGATTGCAGAAATAAATTGCTAATGACATTTCGTACATGAGCACATGTCCAATGATGTTGCGTAATCAAGGGATTATGTCAAAAGTGTTCACACATTCCCGAAACGTCACCAGGTCTGGTTGCTCTGACGCCATTCTTTTCCATGATGGAATCGGATTTCCTGCAGGCAGAGACAACTGGGGATCTGACTCCAAATTGGGAAAAAAATTCGACAGAAAAGCTTTTCTTTATAAAGAAAAGGTCATGAAATGGAAGCTGAGGCCAAGTCCTGTTTCCTGAACTCCTTTAACTAACTGCCAAGCCTTCCCTCCCCATTTAAATAGACTTTTTAAAAAAAAAAAAATCCACAAAGGCAGCAATCGAACAAAGCATAAACTGGCTATTTCAGCAGTTCACTGACAAACTAACCACTGTGCTGGGGCCAAGTTTACAGAGCTCGTGATCTGATTGTAGTAAGAGTCTAGAGACGTTTCAGTCCACGGACAGCACAATTTTAGTCTTGCTTCCACTTAACTGGAGATTCCCACTTTCAATTCCAGATCATAATTCCAGTACCTACCGAGAAAATCCAGCTCAGAACTTCAGCACTGGAACCCAACACGGGATCGAACGCAGAATTTCAATAATCCCAATCTATGAGCTGCCACAATTGATGGACCATGATACCTAAATGCTGAGGACTGTTTTGTGGCTTTCGATACACCATAGGCTATTTTGGCACAAGATGTGTTCTGGAGCCTTGAATCAAACATGACCTTTAGAATTGGCTTACGGACATTAGATTCATGGGAATCATCAAGACATTGATTTTATTCGGCAGTCAATTCCCGTCATGAGGAACAATCACATAGGTATTGAAAACCTAAGACAAACTCACAATCAATTTTCATTCTGATGAAAACTTCATGCTACAAAATGTTAAATGTGCTTCTCTTCCAGATGCTGACTGACCTGCTGCAGATTTCTAGCATCCATCTGGTTATTTAAACTGAATTGACTTTGGAGTTTTACACTCACTTGAACTCTTCCAATCTTCATCTGGTTTAAGGAATGTTGAGAAGGCAGATGTGGATTGCAAATGGTAGTAAAACCAGCTCCGACAGAACTCCATTCTGCTTCAGCTAACTGGTTTTAAAACATTTAAAAGATAGATGCCCTCACGATGACCAGTCATTGAATGTTTCTGTATAAATGGATGGTTTAACCACACCTTTTACAATCATGAAATTAAAACCATGTTTTGTCCATACAGGAATCATGTATGTAAACATACACACCCTACAGTCACTGGACCTTTCAGTAAAATTTGAAACATTTTGAGATATCCTCTTGAAGTATCAAATGGAAAGATTATTATTATTTTCAATTAATAATAAACACCATGTAAAATCCAAAACAACATTGCGCAGAGACTCAGTGCATTAGGGATGTCCTCACATGAGTTTACAAATTGATCATGAGGTTTGGTCACTGTTTGTTAAACTGAAACTGTTCTTAACCCAGGTTGATAAACATTTTCCCTTCAAATAGACACTAAACGCATTGAATTTTGTTCAATATGTCTGCAAATTGGACTTGGCAGTCAGTAATATGTTTTTCAATTACAAACCTCTCAAAAAGGACAAATCTCCTGTACATACAAGTTTAACCTGTCCTTTATCCAGTTCCTCCTCCCTTGAAAACAGACTTTAAATCCCACAAAGGCAGCTGGGCAAACCTCAAGGCCTCTATGTCAGTATCTCACTGACAAAGGAACCACTGCATTTCTGATCATTGCAGACTTGAGAGGATTCAGTAAACTGTCTCTAAGTGAAGCCCAATGCAAACAATTAAACAAGATACGTTATAATGTAGAACAGATTTGCATCAGGGCATTTTCACTCTCCACGGTTGTATCATATCAAAAAACTTGAACTGTATATGAAGGCAAGTCACCTTCATGATGTTCAGCAGACAGCAAGGTACTGCAGCATTCCCGGAATGTAAAATTTTCCCTCTGGTTTCTGACCGATTTAACTTGTGCCAACGACAAACCTCCAACACGAGCCGGCAGAAAACGTGATCAGAACAGACCTACAATTTATGTTCCATTTTCCAACAGCTTTATTAACCCAAACAAATCACAAATCAGAGTCTCATTCAAGTATGAGAAGGTTCATTTTTTCAAACACTTGGAAATGTCAGTAAACACAACTGGATATCCACAAAATTTTAAATGAGGTTGGAAGAGTAATCTAATACTTTTGCATTTACCAATACAGAGCAAGAGGACACAGGTTTAGAGTTGCAAAGGCAGTTCAGTACTGACACCAGGAAGGCTTTCTTAACCAAAATAACTGAAACAGAATACCAGGAATGGTGGTTGAGGCCATGGCACTCGTGTCATGTCATGCCCAGGGATCCCTTCCTAACAGCAACAGTCAAATCCAGTCAGAAATTAACAGATCAACATTTGCTGGCAGAATATATTCATAAGTTTTATTTTTAAAAATTCACTCACAAGTGGTGAGTGATGAGGGAAGAAATGAATTCACAACAAAAAGTTCAAAGGATAGAGATTTCTACAACCTTTCATCTGCATTGATTTCCTTAAGATTGATCTGTTTGACACCAATCACTGTGGTAACCCAGCTTCACTACTAAAGAGGCGAAATGCTGAACCTCGGGAATCAACAGTTTATCTTTATGGACGCACTACCTCACCAAGAGCCAGTTGGAACTCCTCATGAGAAACACCCAACACTTTAGCTCTGACAAAGGGTCGTGGACCAGAAACGTTGATTCACTTTACTTTCTCCATAGATGCTGCCCGAGTGTTCCCAGTGACTTCTGTTTTTGTTTTCAACACTTTAGGTGCTTGTAATGCATGTGGAGCCCTGTAGCGTAGTCGTTAAAGCACTCGCCTCGCAAGCGAGAGGACCTGGGTTCAATTCCTAGCAGGGCGAGATGTTAGGCAAGTTTCCTTACTCCACAAACTCTACTAGCAAAGGTCTGGGGCATATATTGGTCTGTTGTCACACTTATACACCAAAAGGTCTATCAGCAATTTTTACCGGCAGGCTTCCTCACAGTCAGGCTGGCTTTGACTAGGATTTTGGCTGCCACTTTCTCCATTGGTAAAACCATCATAAAACAGTTTTACCAGCTGAAAGGAGAGAAAAAAAATCCAACTAAAAGATCCATTTTGGAAGTAGCTGGGTGTTTGGATATAAATCACCGTTCAACTGCTCGCCACGCTGAGTTGGGTGGAGGCATGTTTCTCAGATTGGTTACAGCGATAAATAACAGATGAGTACCCGCTATGCAAATCTCACACTGAACATTTAAAAATATGCACAAAGAAGGTTCGATGTTGAAACTCAATGCAGAGTTTCAACAACAGCTGAAATGTGATGTGAATTGGCGCAAAGTGCTCAGAAGAGCTGCCCTGCTTGATGTGTGTTATATAAATGCAAGCTGTTACTCACCCACACACAGAATGTTGAAGCAAAACCCTTGAGTTGTTGACTTGTTGACCAGCTGATCTGGGAGACTATCAAATCCGACATGGCCAGCAAGGTTCAAGTTTCGTAGGTCTTCGCTCTGCGGCTATATAAAAAATAATATATTAACAAAGATTCATAGACGTTTATAGCACAGGTGACAGCAGTTTGGCTCATTGAGGGATAAATGGATCCTTCTCAGATTGGCAGGATGCGACTAGTGGAAGTGCCACAAGGATCAGTGCTTGGACCTCAATTATTTACAGTCTATATAATGATTTAGATGAGGAAATAGAACTTAACATATCTAAATTCACGGACGATACGAAGATAGGTTGGAGAGTAAGCTGTGAAGATGACACACGAAGAATGCAAAGGGAAATAGACAGGCTAAGAAAGTGGCAGATGAAGTATAACGTGGGGATGTGTGAAGTTATTCACCTAGGTAGTAAAAATAGAAAAGCAAATTAGTTTCTAGAGGGGGAAGAGACTAGGTAGTGTAAGTGTTCAGAGGGATTTGGGTGTCCTTGTACACCAGTCACAAAAAGTTAGTAAGCAGGTACGCAAGCAACTAGGAAGGCTAATGTCATGTTGGTGTTCGTTGCAAAAGGGTTAGAGGACAAGAGTAGGGAAGTCTTGCTGCAGTTGTATAAGGCCTTGGTGAGACTGCACCTAGAGTATTGTGTGTCGTTTTGGTCTCCTTATTTAACAAAGGACATACTCGCCTTAGAGGGAATGCAGGGTAGATTCACTAGGTTTGTTCCTGGGATGAGGGGGTTGACCTATGAGGATAGGTTGAGTAAACTAGGCCTATATCCTCTAGAATATAGAAGAATTAGAGGTGATCTTATAGAAACCTAGTGCAGAGTGTAGTAATGCAGAGAGTACAGAGAGTGGGGTAGTGCAAGTACATTAATCCCATAAACATTAAAAATGTCTTGTGACAATCTCAGTTACTGAAATATCGAGGCAATGGAAGACCAGACACCGAAATATGTTCTGCCAAATTCAGTGTTGGGAGACAAAGCAGCAGAAATGAGACATCTGCAAACTATCAATCTTTTGTATGTTACTTGTGGAAAATCTTGTACCAGAGTGAATTTTGGCAAACTGATTGCTTAATGTAGAAGCCTAACTGCATTCAGCTTTGCTTAAAATAAGCACAGTCCTTACATAACTTACAAACCATCAACTTTGAAGGATCATCATTTTGGCCAAGATTATTTATTGCTCGGTGCTCTTTCACACAGAATGTTTGTTCTTTCAAGTCTTTAACTAAGTGAATTATTCATAAATATAACTGTCTTAGGAACACAGACTTTGCTGATTTGAAAACCAGGCCCCAAGGGGATTTTACTTATTATGTGGGTCGATTGCTAGTTTAGAATTCTTTTGTTTGGTCGTTGAAAAGCTTTGACAATTGTTTTCAGAGATGGATATAGCACACTTTAACATAAAATCTCTCTCTCTCTAAAACAACAAAGCAGCAACCAAATCTTTATGCGGGGCATTAACTCCTAAATACTGTGCAGCTCTAGGGCCTATTATCCACTTATTTGGTTCCATTGACATGTTGTGATTACATAACATGCAGCCATTGATTCAAAATGTTTTACAAACACAATGGTAGCGAGTATTTAGCAGCTTAATCAACACCACCCCCCTCCCCCACCCCCGTGTCTACCTGTTCTGTGTGAACCAGGGTCATTTCACGTAGGGTCATAAGAGAGAATGAGGTTCCAGGCTGGCAGAAGCAATGGGGTACTGTTGAAGTTTAACCACTTAAAACCACATAGCTGGCCATTGTCAGAACTATCTAGCAAGCTTTCCCCTGCTTGTTCAGTGAGTACCATGATACCTGTTAGGGGTTTAGTTTGGAGGATTAAGAAGAACTGAGTGGCAAAAAGCCCCCCTCCAAGTCCTGCCAATGAGCCTGGCGCTATGCCATCAGCAGTGCCTGAAGTACTGTGGACCCACCTGGCTCAGGAACCTACTACTGACAGCCACAGAAAATTGACTTGATTCCAACATTGTTACCAAGCCCATCACTTTGGAGCCAACTCAGTCTAACGGAGACCCTACTTACATCTCTCCAACCCCCTCACCACTCCAAGGAGATAAAATACTAGTTGATCATTAGACACCCAACAACAACAAATTACACATATACAGTGACCTTCACATCGGAAAGACAAGGATGGGTTTAGCCTGAACTAGGAGATGGATAGCAGGTACCAGGAACTTGTTGTGAGCCTCTTGGTCAGTAATATAATTCTGAATAAAGTGTGTGAGCACCGGCAGCATCCTGATCTTAAGGAAACATAAGAAATGTCAAGCCACTGGTGCTTCTTCATAGGGCAAATAATCACTGAACTGTTAACTTCTTTGCAGCTGTCTGAACGTCAAGTCTGAGACAAAGTCACCGCTCTCTCCACCTCAGACATAAGATGAACCCATTATTATTAAATTCCTTTGAGGACAGAACGTCTCACCTCCGACAATGCAGCACTCTCTCCCCCCACAGCACTGCACTAAAGTGTCATCTTAGACTGTGTGATTCCAAGTCTCAACGTGGGGCTTGAACCAACAACCTTCTGACATGGAGGCAAGAGTGCTACCACTGAGCCAGGCCGACCACTACACAGAACAGCCCCCAGGAGAAAGTGAAACCAGCACAGCCTCCTCTCAAATGATACAAGAGAAAGGTTGAAGCGCTAGAAAACAGTTCCAAATGCCAACACATCACTGCTTGGGCCACAGCGAAAGAAGAACATCAGCTGTTAATGAGGAACAGATGTACATTCCAGAGCGACTCACGAGCTTCACTGCGATGGCTGTGCTGTGACAAATGAGCATGGAAGAATTTAAAGTGGGGCCAACCTCAAAGGTGCAGAACGCTCAGTCACAGACATGGCTTTCCCCACTGCCAGTGTCTGATCCTCAGACAGAAAGGCAGCGGCAATAGCAGAGGTTTGATAAATGTATGTGAATTCTGATGCATTCATTTATTCAGGTTGTTCCTCTAGTTGATTTGCACGGGTGACTCAACCTTACAAACAATAAGGTGGGGGGTGGGGGAGGAAGACAGCAGAGAAGCATCATTGCAGGAAATGACACCTCCTAAAAACAAAGATTCTCAGCGGATGCAAAGCTGCAATGATCAATAGAATTCACTCTTCAAGTAATTACCTCCCACCCAGACCATCAAGGCCCACACCTAAACAAAGGTCACTTGGTGGTGAGGAACCTGAGGGTACCCACACCTAAATAGAAATGGAAATAATAATAATAATCCTTGCATTTGATATAGCACCTTATCACATCCTCGCAATGTCTAAAACTCTTCACAGAATATACTGTCAAGTGAATTGATTGGATATTTTGTGGGCAAAATGCAACAGTCAATTGTGCACAGCAGTGTCTCACCAACAATCAACAACAACAACTTGGATTTATATAGCGCCCTCCACGCCAGACGGCGTCTCAGAGCGCTTTACAGTAACAGATACCAGGGCCGAGACAGGGGGAGGGGGAGGAAGGTGACCAAAGGGGTGGTCGAAAAGAAGGTCTTCACCAGAGACCTGAAAATGGGATTGGAGGGAGCGAGACGAAGGGAGTGAGGAAGGGAGTTCCAGAGCCTTGGGGCATAGCGGCTGAAGGCACAGCCGCTGAGGATGGAGCGGAGGACTTGGGGGACGAGGAGGAGGCCAGACCCGGAGGAACAAAGGCAATGGGTACTGTCGTGAGTGACCAAATGTTTTTGTATAGTGGGTAGTGATCAGGAGTGGGTCTCAGGTTGATTTCCTCTCCTTAAAATAGGGATTCGAAGACCAATTCTAAGACCAATTACAGCCAAATACAACCTCAATCACTGCCCTGGAAAGAAACAATTTACATTTTTTTTATATAACACACTTCGCATTAGGAGGATGTCTTAAAAATGCACAAAGCACAACTAAACGGGAGCCTGAGCTTGGGCTGGAAGAGAATGAAATGGGTGTTTGAAAGCCCAGTTGAAGAATTTGATCTTAAGATTTTGAAAGTAGGAAGGGACGGGGCAAGACATGAGGATTCCAGGATGAAGTTGTAGGGCTAGAGCAGAACAGCTGAAGGCTAGCCCACTGAAAGGAGTCAATATATGTACACCTTCAGGAGGGAAGAGGAATCAGCAGATCTTTTCATATAAATCTTTCAACTGTTTTGGTACTGGTTTGATTTACATTTCATTGATAAAGAAAGAAAGCTCTGCCTGGCAGTGAGCTATAGGGTCCTGACCTTTAAAGCTTGGGAAATTGCACAACTTGTAATTTAACGGTGGTGCTTTTGAATTCGTTAAACCTCACAAAAAAAACATGATACTGTTATCACATGTTCTACAGTTTCAAAACCACACACAACCCTTTTAAGCACGTAGAGTGACTGACATGGCATCCCCTTTGTTGTTTACTGGAATTTTAGGCTTGCAAACCACAAATTCCAACATAATTATCAGTACCAGTTGAGTCAGAGGAGAGTTAACACAGACCCTTCCCCCTCCCCTGATGTTTTTACAGCTGTGCTGGAGCCTGGGCTAACATTTTCACATTCACCCAGTAACGTCAGTTCAGGAGGAGGCAGTGATAATAAAGCTGGCTTTGTGGTCAATGTAGGGTATTTGTTTTAAACAGAGGTCAAGCATGCAAGTTATCTAATTAAACTAAATTTTATTCACAATTATTGCAGACTTATGAAAAGACCATTTTTTAAAAATTTCCAGATTAAACAGAAGACTTTGTTCCAGGTGAATTCAATTCAGCACCACTTATAATCAAAGCACCGTGCGTTTTTGTTATAATTGGCCCCTCATGTTTACGAGATTTTTAATAAAGGAAAACATTGAATGTTTAAAACTTGGAAGTTGGAGAGTTGCTTATGGGAAAATAGAAGCACAAATGGCAACTTATCTGAGAAAAGCAACTTGGAATGTAAATTATGTGTCTTGCAAGGAATCTCATGTACATCAAGTTGACTTGTGAGAAATCACACTTGGAGCAATCTAGAGTCAGTGCCGAACACTCCCAAATAAGTATGACGTGAACCAAGTTCCCTGATGTCCCTAATCCTTTT